TTCGCACCCCCGAAATACGAAGGGGTTGAGCTAATCCCGGAATATGTTGGCGCGATTTCAAGGGAATTTCGAAAGACTTTCGTACCCTTCGAATTTTTTTGGTAGTATCACCATGTCTAGACCGTTGGGAAATTAATTTTCAAATTTCAAATGAATCCTCATGAAAAATGATTTTTTATTCAAGAATTTTATTCCTCAATTCGTATTATAATTTACTTTTTTTTATTAATTCATTTTTTTTTCTGAATTTCAGTAATTGTGCAGAATGATTTTAATTGAATTTTGTATTTTTGATTTCGATGGAACGTCAAAAAATTTATCATCAATTTTTTCAGTGATGAAAGTCATTGAATTTGGATAAAAGTGCAACGGTTCCAGAGCTTCGCGAATAATTCGTTCGCGACAATTCGCCTTCCCTTGGTTCCGGTTTCCTTCGATAAATCGAAACGGGGGAAGCCCGTGAAAAGTAAAACGAGAAAGAGGATATCCCCGGGGCGAGACTGTGTCGGGGTAAAAAATAAAAAAAAGGGCAGCCCAAGTATTCGGTTACCGAAGAGAGAGTTTACGATGCAAGGTTTAAATTATTACAGGTGAGTATAAAAGAAACACTCAAATATGTATGAAGTGGTTTGCAGGAAGAGGCCAAACTCGAGATTTGCCGACTCAATGGAGAATTGCTGTTTATTGTAATTTTGCTGATGAATATTTTAAATTTTTCGCTGGTTCACAAATTTTTGAGTGAAACTTTTATACAAAAATCCATATTTCAATAAAAATAATAATAAAATCAAGTAAAAAAATCTTAAATCTCCAAAGTTTAGGGATTAAACTTTGAAAAATTTAATTATTTCCCGCTTTACTCATGACTCGGAAGAATGTGCTGTGACAAACGAGTGGATGCGATTAAAAAAAAATTATGTTAGTCACAAAAATTGTTAGTAATTTATTAGTAATTCGTTAGTTAGTGATTGTTAGTATCTCGTCACACTCCTTAATACTAAAATTAGTAGAAGGGGTTAGTATTTCGTGTTAGCTGGTAGTTAATGTTTTTAGTTCATGATTAATTTTCGTTAGTTTCCTCGAGCGCCTGTGTCGCGGTGCTTATCAGAGTTATCAGTCATGATAAATAACCGGCGATACAGTCGCTTTGCCAAAATGTTAGTTATGATTCGTTTCTGGTTCCGCAAGTCGCATAAAAACCCGGACAGCAATTCCGCTGGAATGACCATGACAAAAACATTATTCTTCGTCTTAATGAGTCATTACAACAAATCTATTATCACTGACTTAATTTTACTGTCATTCCAACGGAATTTATGTCTAGGTGATTTTTTTTTTTTGCACACAAATTGTTAATAAATTGTTAGTGAGTCAGTAAAATAGTTGGTTAGTGTTTCTGGTAATGACACGTATTATAATCACGTGAATTAATTCCTCGTATCAATTATACAATTAATTTTGAAAATTCAAGAAAACCGTTGTTTTTTATATTAAACAATTAAACAATTGAAATTCTTCGATTAAAAATCCGGGAAAGTCGTCACCGGAAGATGATGTCTGAAATATTTTTGGGTCAAATGCATTTATTTTCGTGAATTTTCAAATGATTGGTCGCAGCAAATTCTTTGGAAATGATTAGCAAATGAATATAGTTCGGGACTTTAATTTTTGCAGTGGAGAGAAAATTAGTGGGAATATGTGTTCGTCCTGAACGAGACTGAATAGGTCGTACGATGCTATGTGTTGCTTTGAGGCGGCGATAAGTGACCGATAAGAGTTTGTATTGCCGAGCACCTCGAGGGTTATCGATGCCCCAGGGCAACAAACCCACAAGACCCCAGGATAAAGTAAATAATAACTGAGAATAAAAAAGTGTAAACCGAAAGTAATGAAGAATTTGAGATAAAATAAATCATCGCGCTTTCACCGTTACTGATAAATATCCCAGGGTAGGATTGAATTGTTGCGATTGGTTTGGCCCATACTGGGATTCCCAACCACTCGCGCATGCGCACGTCTAACGAATGAAGGGTTAGGACTGAGAATTTAAAACGAGAAATTGTCGGCCTCCACTTTGCTCACCCCTCTTGGCTAAATTATTCCGGTAACTGAGAAATTCCACGAAATTGGGGTGAAAATTACGGGGCAACCCGGGAATTTCACCACCCATGAGTACCTTTACGCATGGTCGATTGCCGACGTATCACCGACGCTTCGGTGATAACGGGATTTTTTTTTTCTCCTTACCAATCCCCAGGAAAAGTGGATCAGGGATATGTTCTTATCGCTGAGGCGTGAATTTACGGAGTGAGTCTGACGGAATAATATCGTATTATTTGGAGGGTTAAATTTTCGCCGGATTTATCGCGCAATTTTCGGGATAGTTAATGCCATAAATTGTAGATTGAGTTTTCCGCGTTATTCGTGTGGAAAAAAAAAATTGAAGTTATCAGTTCGAAGGTCATTTGTTGTCAGGGGCAAGATGGAGATTTCCGATGCCCTTCGAGATATTTTTATCGTGCTATTGGATTTCAATGGAATTCCAAGGAATTTTGGGATTGGAAATTTATGGAAACCTCATTTTATCGCAATTATTTTAGGATTCATTACAATCCCAGGATTTTTAATAATTCCGCATTGAATATTCGGGTTTTCCGGGAGAGCAATTCAGTGATATAATTATTTTTCTACCGCTGATAAAAATATCTCCTGAATCAAGAAATATTTAATGAATATTAAATATATCTGTACTTGGCGATGCGTGATCGCAGGTGTAACACACGTTAACCACGACCCCAGGTTTATTTTCCCCTCATTTATCTCTCTCCTTTTTCGACAGGACCGAGACCCAGAAAATCCGCGAAAAGTGTAACGCAAAAAGACTCTTCCCCGGGGATGATAAGGGCGGCAAGGCCACGATAGCTGGAGGGCAAGAGGAAAATAAGGGGATCGGATTGTTGTGACGGCAAAGGTCTCCACACAATACTATATACTCCTGGACTCTCGTTTCTCCATCTATCATCGGGGTTTACCGTTTACCTCGACTTTCGCTGCAGTGACTTTTTTCCTTTACCCACTTCCGCCATCCCGTGGATCATTTCCTTTATTTTTATTTCCAATCGCCATATATAAAAGTGGAAAAACCTGAATTCATTTCGTTTTTTTGGGGAGGTCTGAGTCTCTTCGAGACGTAGTATTGATTATTGGAAATTGGAGATGTCTTCCCTTTCCCCGGCGTCGCCCTTTCTCACTCTCCCTTTCACCTCTTCCGCTGGAAGCCATCCCCTGGAGTCTCGACAACTCGCCACAAACGTCTCAACTCCACGTTAACTCAACATTTAATTTCTGTCTAATTGACACTATCGCTGTTCGCCGGGTATTTTATTTTCCCTCGATGAAGTCATTCTGTTTACGTTCGGATTCTGACTGATGCAGTAGGAAATAGTCCAGATAAGTCAAGTCAAATTCAAATCACAGAATAATTAATCTGAGTCAATCAAGACTCGAGTAATCAACTTGATATTGTCAATTATTCTCAACTGAGAACTTGAATCAATTGTGCGCAATTCAACATTTCTCAGTGAATTCCCAGTTCTCTCGATTTAATGAATAAACAAATAAACTTTGTATTATTAATGCTTTGATTCACTGTGAATCGGGCATGAGCATTCGATGGCCGTGAGTCACAGGTCAAACGTCGTACAAACGTCAGGGGATAATTGATTTGTTTGCCTCGCAAAAATCTCACGCGATCGCCCAAGTATTTCTCATCCGCCAATTTCAATATCAATTTCACACCTCACCCTCGATTTTCTCCAAAATTTTCACCGCACCATAAATTCCCATCAATCGAGGCAAACCCGATAAAATCACAAAGAGCTAATTGAAAACTGCATGTGCCTTTCAATGGGAAAAACAAGACGCCACATTTCACAGAAGAGAGTTCGATACGCGATTGTAATGACCCGTGGGGGCTTGAGCCTTGAACTTGCCCTACGATAAGACACTGGAGTTGCTTACGTACATTGGCATCGTAGAGTCCGTTCACTCTATCGCTCACTACCTCGTTAAATCCAATCATTAAATTTATCACAACAGCTAAGGATAAAAATTCAATAAAAAGTCCCTACCACTGTAGCAACAACAAGAGGAGGTTTATTCATGATTTTGGGTGAGCGGGAATAGAGAGTGAATTTCAACCCCTCCGTTGAGTTCAATGTCACTGCAATAATAAACCAACGGCTCTCTGTATTTCTGTATTTCCCTCTGGGCTTCCCTCACCGAATTTTCCCTCCTTTCCCTCTTCTACCGGGTTGAGCCCCAACATCGAGGCCAAGTTCATCTCTATATATACCCAGGGTATACGATTCCTAGCCCACCCACCGGGCAAAACGATTCACCGTGTAAATTCCAACCCTCTGTTTCTCCTCTCTGCTCTATATATCCCCCACCCCCTCATCTTCTTCACCTATACCACCCACACACCCCCTCTGTTCTCCTTTATCGCCTAAAATCCCGTGGCAAATGCGTACCAACAGATACCGGAGATACGACTTTCGCACGGAACTCACATCCGCCTACTGCTGGAACGTGAGTCATGCATTTCCAAGTGGAAATTCCATATCTCAACGAGTTTTTATTATGCCCATGGATTTTCATTTTCAATGAGGCTACTTCGGCAAAACGCGTGTCGTGAATGCCCGTGGGAGCGAAAAATCCCGGAGACGGAACGGTGTAAAACCGGTTTTTGCCCTTTGTGGCTTTTAATGACTTTATAATGAACAATTAGGCGGGGAGAATTGTATCAATTTAAACGGTTTCGGGTGATGCGTGTGTACGGAGTGAATTTTTCTTTTAAAATGCAGCATTGCGCAGGGAGAAAAATTTCCAAGTGCATGCGCATGAAATGATTTCCGTAATTTGCCATAAATGACGGGAATTGGGGGTCAGTTTGCTGACCGATGCATTCAATTTGAATAGTAATGAAACTCTTGACTCACCTTTTTCTCCGTGAGTTTCTCGCACCTCCTCATCTTACAGATCTGATGACTCTTGTCGTTTCTGCACGGTGCACAATCGCCGCAGTTGTCCTTTCGCTGGCAGCCGATGCACTCGCCGCATCTTTTGCGCTTCTTTTTGGCGGGTTTATCCCCGAGTCCCCCATCCCCATCACCATCACCGACGCCTCCACCGAGATGTCCGTGAGGACCGCGATTTCCAGTTGAGGATACAGCAGCAACTTGTCCAGATGACTCAACATTGCCACTGCCATCCTCTGACTCCATGGAGTCACCACGATTTTTTCTCCTCTCCTTTTTTCTACCGTCGATCCTTGCCGACGGCGACGAGTCGAGAACCGTCGACATGGGATTTTGAAAGTTGGTGTGATGCAGCTGAGGATACTCCTGCTTGACAACAGTGAGAACTGTGTGATGATGTCCAGCAGGTGGTGCAAATGCCTGTACTGGATTTGAGCCAAGCAGTTGAATGTGTCTCTCATCGAGTATTTGTTGCTGAAGTGCTGGTACTTCGCGTGCCTGAACAGGCGCTGGCACCAGGGGATAACCAACAGGCGCTCTGTGTGGATGATGCGGTGGTGGAAGTGGTGAACCAAGTGTGTGAAAACTTGGCAGACCAACGGCCGACGTGACAGGTGGTGAATGTGATACCGAGGCTGGTGACAGAGGTGTGAGCGCTGTCAACTGTGGCTCTGATTCACTCGGTGGTGCAAATTGACTGGCAAAACTCGGCAGACCATCGGGATTCTGATGTAGCCCATGCTTAGACTCCCAGGGACGGTACTGACTTGCCAATACAACTTCACCCCTCGAGTCTATGAGTCTACCAGTCAGACCCTCGTAGTAATCCCACGAGGATGTCAAACCAAGACCAACGTCTTGGCTGTGAAGGGTTGTCAATGTTGTACCAGTGTCCATTGATACGTCACCGGAGAAACTGCTGAAGGGGGGCAAGTGGCGATTTGGATCACCAGGTCCAATGTTGCCTGGCGATACCGACAGGCCCACCGGAGGGCTCACCCTCTCGGGTGCTACCTCCTTTTTAACCTCGGCGCTCATCTTCTGAGCAGCATTCTCAAATCCATCACTCCCTTCACGAGATTTTTACACTTTTCAAAGATCTCACCGGTGAGTTATCACAACAAATTCTTATGATCTTTATGATTTTAATCGTTGATTCTTCTTGGGGCACCAACAGTTCAATTGAAACTACCTCGGACACTTTTCATGCACGCACGACATTCAATTTGTTTAGATTAATCTCTCGTTTAATTACAGTGATGAGTTTCGTTGAGCTTTACGGTTCTCCACTCAATGATTTTATTTTTTTTTTTTTTTGTACTCGACAGGTTTAGGCTACGAACTGAAGTAGATTGGTTTTAGTTTTCATTAATTTTTTTTTGTTTTTATCATTAATGTGTTTCTTTATTCCTGAGCGAAAATTCGTCAACGTTTTTAAAAAACTCGATTTATCTCAAACCTCGCGCGTTTGCTCGATAAAATTTGATAAAAATTTACTCCTCGGTGCTCGTTTAAAAAATGTAGAATACTTACAATGTTTAACTATAAATTCCTATGCTTTTAGACTCTGTCTGGTTTTTACTTGTGATTTAGTTTTGCTTTTAGTAACTGTGTGCGGAGAACTTGATGCTTTCTCGAATTAATCGGGAGATTTTTCTGTTTTCGGTTGTTTTATTTTTTTTTATCAAACTGTTTGCCCTCCGCTCATTAGAGTATCGTTGAATGATTAGTAGAAAATGGTAAATTCTTTGGTTTATGGTTTAGCTCACTTATTTCTCTGTCACACGGTTGTATTCAATTTAATCCTCTTCGAAAACTTTACTATATTCTTTCTGCTTACACTTTTCCGTTTACGTTTTGCTTCTCGCGATTTGGCACTGGCGGACTTTTGTATCGATATATATTTGTACACTAGATTAAAATACGTATCAATCCATTTGTCTCCCTTTCCAAGATTTTCTAAAATCCTCTCCTTCCTTTCAAACCTAAGCTCTTGGGATACGACAATATAGACACTACGTGATTCTCGATTCGTAAGAAAATATAAATCACTTGAGGTTAATGTGGCTTGTTTGAAGGCTGTTGATTTGTACGATCTGAAACACAAGAAAAAAAACTCATTTAAATACAATGATCAATTATCACGAAAACGTGAGCAATAAATTGTTCATTCACACGTGGGTAAATAGAAATAACATATCCTGCGAACCGAAACGACCCCGTCAATATTTTTCCATAATTATCCCCAAGTTTTCGACTTTGGGGAGGATACAGTACCACACCCACAACTATTTCTTTTTTTTAAACAAAAATTGTATTGTTTGCAGGTGAAAGTAAGTGAGAAAATTATGTTTAAAATAAAAAAAAGTATACGAGCAGGCCTGCAATGTGAGAAATACGAGTGAGTCAGTCCGGACTTGCCTGACATCAAGTAAGGATGGAGAACATTTTTTCTGTTATGTGTAATGTCAGCTGGTTTTTTTTTTAATCCATTTCGTTATCTCTTTGAGATTAAAATCCTGTTTTTATATGATTTTGATCCAAGAGGTGTATCATGGGATATTTCTTTTGGGATAAAACACCTCGACTGTGGATTTCTCCGGAGATTTCTTCATCGGTGCTTGTGAAAATGCCAATTCAACACGCAATGTCCCCCTCCAACCACGTGTGATACTGGTCTTCCGCGCACGTTGACCACGCGTTCGCCCGTTTCACCCTCAAGGTTACTATTACGAGGCCCTCCCTACTCATATCCTACCTATTCCCACGCTTTGGTATTCGCTAAACGACCTGTCTAAAATACAATCGTTCAATCATAATCCACCGTTTGACATGTAATTTTACGTCAACAAAAATAGAAAAAATTACTTCACCCATGTTTATAATCAGTCACCCCAATAATTACCACCAATCACTAATTACAATTATTCTTCAAACTTCATCGTATACGTTATTAACTGCAAGAGCTTATAATTAAAAAGAAAAAATATCAAGTAATTTACGAGTGAAAAAAAAAAGGTTTAAAATTAAATCCTCTCACTCTCACCAATTGAAATTTTAAATAAAAAAATGAATGGTCAATTCTTTTGAGTATTTTTTCTTTCTGATTTAGATTTTTTTCTGGTAGAAAAGTATTGAATGTGGTGAATGTTTTTGAACAGAAAAATTATGAACGCGTTGAGTTTGAAGCCATCACTGGCAACTGGAGCGTCGGGTTGGGGCCAGGACGAAATATCGACCGGGTGTTTTGTTGACTGTGTGCATGCCCCAGGCCTCTCACCCCCATTCCCCCTGACACATGGAGTCCCCCACACACCAACACACATACACAACACTATTGCAATATCATCCAACGTACATACGTCATTGATCGGTTGCACAGTTACATAGTGAGTAACGCGTGTAGTTTTGAGTCTACAGGTGTAAGTATCTCCATTTGTACCGGTAATACCAACACGCTCAGACAAGGGGGTAATGGGAAGTAATAGTTCACTCTTGCTCTCACTTGTACCATTCTCCCACTGTTTCAACACAAATGGAGTAAATGCGAGATCAAGTACGTGTGAACGAGCTTTCGCTGTCCGTGAAAACTTGCACTATCATTTGAGACTAACGCCATTGTAACGCTCACTAAAAAAGTCGAGGAAAACCGGAAATCAAGGGCATCGACAGAATCTTGTCAATGAATCAATTAAATAATTGAGAAACTGAGGTGAAGCAAAGGGAATTGATTATTTTCTATTTCTCCAATTTTCGGATTGATCGATAGGTAAAATTATTTTATTGTTTAACCGAGGGATTAACCGAATTTTAATCAAGTGATAAATCCATAAGAATACGTATTTTTATTGAATATGGAGAGGGACTCCTCTGGCGTTGTTCGAGCTATTCCCCTATCATCTGTATTATTGAAAATTGATGATAATGACGCACGTCAAATCATCGTCGACGGGTAAAATAGCGCGAGCACGGGGGATTGAACTTTCCTTGGTCGTTCATAAATCGTCTGGACTTGAATACCGCGAACTTTAGTCTTTAAAGGTCGCGAAACTCAAACGTCGCGATGATACGAAAACCAAGAGCCGCGGGTTGGTTAATACCAGTGATAGCGAACAGTGTACATATTTCTGCACCAAGATAACGTGCACCATCCCTCACCCCTCCATCTCTTAGCCAGTGAAAAAAAAATACCGATCATTGCCACTGACTTTATTTTAACTGTCATTGTGAAATGGCACTGATGAAAGTGAATGGAGAAAATGGCGGGCGATACACTGTTCAATTTTATTGTACCGCCACGACCCAAATAATCCCATCATCCAGTCACTTATCTCAGAACGGCTTATCATTTTCACATCTTATGAATATCTAATCCATTTACTCACCCCCGAAACTCCTTTTCCGAGGGTGTAGAAAAAATACTGGCAAAAAATGGCGGCATTATTTTTATACGAGCTGAAAGAAAAATGAGTGAATGGGACAGACGATTTTTTAAAAATTAAAAAAAATAAAAAGCCCGAGGTACGAAAAAGATCCGGTGCTGGTTTTCGTCTGTTGTGCTATACCAGAGGCAGCAGCTGGTCTCCATGCACTTTCGCTGAATCGACCGTAGCTAACGCACGAAAAATTCAATACCCGCCTCTCTTTTTCGTTAGGCGAAGAGAGAAGTCCCTGGACCCATAGTGCACGCTCCGTCGCTTTATACCCAGTGCGGCACAACAAAATGTGTGGATGGAATTTATTTCAAAACTCGTTTTGCTCCAATTTTCCCCCCCCCTCTCTCACCACCACCACCCCCTTGCCACTCTGTTACTTTTTTCCAACATGTGTGCCCCGGAGGTTACGTTTTTCTTGACGCAGTATGACGAATATTTCCTGGAAGTACGCGTTACGCCAGAAGGTCGGGAAATTAAATTAGTTAATGAGGTGGAATACAGATACATATTTGTTGAAATAAATATTTTTTAACCGGATCGGAGGTATCGCGGATTATCTAATATCGAGCGGAGTCAGTATGGCGGGCATTATCACCGGCCCCGACGCCATTTTCTCCGACTTCCGGTCTTGCTCGACCAATAATTTTCTCCTGTTACCCGCGATAACGCCAAAACCCGCCTTATCCCCGTTAATTTCCATTTTTCTCTGTAAACAATTGTCTTGCCGGTTATCTCATTTTTTTTTCTCTCTCTTTCTCTCTCGTTTTGAACAATTTTTTTTTCCCTGTGTGGGGCAATGGTGGCGCTAATTCTCAACCCCGGCCATCGCAGAAATGGTCGTGGTCGAATGGACAGAGCGAGGGGGTATACTGAAAAAATAAAGTGAAATAAAACTGCAAGGCAAAAAAGTCGCGACGCCGGGTCTTCCTCGGGCAAAAAAGCTCGACTACTTCTCGGGTACACTTTCGCCGACCTCGTGGCTCTCTCTTTATTTCTTTCTTTCTCTCTCTCCCCGTCCCTCTTTCTCTCTCTTTCTTTCTCTTTCTCTGCGACAAAGGCACGCTTGATTCAAGGTCTTTCACTCATACAACTCTGGGCTTGGTTATTTCGTACATATAAAATGGAATGGGACGAAATGCGAAACAGAGAAGTGCACACACGCAGGCGCACAACACAACTCTTAGGGCACGTTCTCTCTGATATTTTTCACCAGCAACGCGTTTTTGGTGGTTAGGTTTGCCCGCTTGTTCGTATGTTTCGGGGATTGTCGATTGGAATATCGATTTCTACTTTCAAATCCGCGAAATTTCATCGGTGACGCAGGGGATAAGAAATGGGGAAATTATCGAGAAAATTATTGAATTGGAGAAATTATTCTCATCCAGAGAATATATAAATGGAGATGTAAATATTTTCTAGGTGAATAATATTGGGGGAGATCGGTATGAGTTGATCTTGAAAATTATAATACCGAATTAAGGGATTATGGAGGGCGAGTGAAAAATATTGAATTGATTGGAAAATTGATTCGCCCGGTGGACGCAAATACGCGCATTATCACCGACCCTTAACTCCCCACCCAATGTCCACCTTCGAGATATC